GGTAAAGATCAAAATTAATGTCAAAAGTCATGGTTAAATCAATCGTTTATCATGCACTTTTTACAAGGAAAAAAAAAAGGCCAACACAAAGTGATTAATTTGAATTTGGTAATTTACTGAAAATTTATTTGTAAATTATGCTATAATGTTATAAATTTATAAATTAAGCTAACCTAAAGTCTCTTATTTTTTAATAAAATTTAATTTAATTGATTCATATAATTATTTATAAAAAATAATATTTAAAAATTTTAAAATTCAAATTAATTTTTTCGGATAAATCTAAAATTATATTTTTACGTAAATTTAATGTATATAAAATTTCACTTTTAAAATATTCTCTACAAAAATCAAAATTAATTTAAGGAGAAAAAGCAATTCTTCATCCTTAGGAGCTGAACTAATTTAATTAAATTGTTTAGGACATAGTAGTTACTAATTATGTAAAGTGATGTAACTCAATTGTCCTGACAATAGCCCAATTTTCATGGCATCTACCATATATTTTGAGTCCTTTTCCTCAGGCACATCCTTTTGATGAAAGTTGAAAAATGAAATCATTGAAATGTGACCCAAAAAATCAAAGATTACCCACAAAAAAAGAAAGAAAATCAATCCGAGTCAATCAAACTTTGGTGGAACATGTGGGTTTCACCGTGCATATAAAACCTTGGTGGGACCCTAAACATTAAGGTAGCTAAATCTTCCCACAAGTTAAGACATTAGAAAGCTTCACACATTTTCCATGAAAATGACAAATGCAAAAGTATTTAAAGGGACCACAATTAGGATTAAGGTCTAACCTATGACAAAATATCAATAAAAATTTTATATTTGATATATTATCCGTATATAAATTTTTTATATTATTAATAAATCAAATGATAATAATTTATTAATAAATAAATATTAATTATTAAAATAAATATATAAAAATTTTACATTTTTTAAAAACTTAATTATTAATAAAATGATGATAACATATAAAATTTATATATTGATATTTATTAAATATAATCCTGAAAAAGTTGTAAAACAGGATCTTTAAAATCATTACAATTTACAAACTTAATTGACTCGCAACCCATTGTATTCGTTTGTTGTTGATATATAAAGTTTTTATTTCTTGATTAATAGGTTGATGATGACTGGCCACATTTATCACATCCCATCTGTCCTTGAATTGTTATGGCAACCAACCACGTAATTGATTGGAAGAAAAACAACTCAACCCTTTATTCTCAACGAGAAAACTTAAGTTGAATTCTTTAGGTGTAGATTATGAATTAAAAAAAAGATTTTATAAAAATTTTAATAAAAAATTTAAATCGATAAATTGATAAAATTTATTGTAAACATTAATAATATGTAAAAAATTATTTATAATTTAAATTTGATAATAAATTTTAACGATAAAATTTATATCAATATTTTTACTAAAAATATTTATTTAAAAAATCAAAATTTATTAAAATTTTTTTAAATTTTACACACTTGATCTATATAACAAAAATTTTCAATCTATCACTTTTGATTTTTATTTTTTATTTAATAATTTATAGTAAAAAAATTTATGAACTTTATGAATTTCACCTAAAAATTTTCATTTAAATCTTTTTTTATTCCTATTACCTCTTATATATATATATATTTATATATGAAACTATTATGATTTAATTTTTGAAATACATTGTAATTTAATTGTATATCTAATGATTTAATATATTTATTTCTTAGATACATTGACAGAATTACTATGTTATCAAACTTTCCCTTCTTCATGATCATCAAAATATTGAAGAATTTTTTTTTTCAAAAAACAATTGAAGACCAATCATCCATGATTATGGTTTACATACAAATGAATTTGTACTCTATATCTCTTTAAAGGCGGTGTTGGTGACCTGGTATATATCCACAATTTATTTATTAATACTATATAGAAAGTTTTGGTCCAAATATTTATAAAAGAATTTGAAAGAAAATGGCATTAATTATCACTTGCAATTTGGATTAATTATCAATTGCAATTACAATTCATACCCTAAGAAGAACCAATAAATTGTGTTAAACAAAAGGCAAAAAGACAACTTTTTTTCTTAAAAAAATTAATAAAGAAAAACTATGTAATATATATATATATATATATATATATATAATAGAAAACACTTATTGAATAGGTTTATTTTTGTCATTATATTTATCTTACAGATGGCTATGGGTGGGTTTAATCCGAGTAGATTTTTGTTCACCTCAAATTTGACCTAACTTTATACCTTTAATACTCAAACACATCTCGACTCAACTCATTTTATTTATTTTTTAAATATCTGAACTAACCAAATTCGATATTAAATAAAATTATATTCGACTTTAAAATTAATAATATATTATTTTTAATATAAAAATATTATTTTTTAATATGAATATATATAATATTAAATAATTAATTAAAAAATAATATATTAGGTCAGGTTAAGACATGATGGGTTTACAAAAAATCCAACTTTGACCTGACCCCAATTTTTAAAATTATTATTCGACTCAAAACCTAATTTAAAAAAAAATTGATATTATGATATTAAGTCAAAGTTGAAATCCCTCGAGTTTGGGTTGAGTTGAAATATTTAATTTTTTTCCTCCATCGAACACGTTAACTTATCTTGAAAAAATTTGTATAAGAAATTCATTTTTGGACAAATTATTTAATATAATTTGCATAAATTATAAATATATATAATATTTGAGATTCAATCTTCAAGGCTTCGCAAAATTCTTCTCCTTTATCTTCTAGATTACGAAATCCTTTTTGTATAAAAAAATTATTAAATCAAGGGGCTAGAGAAAAAAAAAGTCAGTGAAATATTTGAAAATATTTCAAACTCCTTTTAACATTGATCTTATAGTCAAAGACCAAACCTAATAAAGAGTTGAAGCTTCCATACTTCATTCTTTTATTTGTGGTTTTGATGAGCAAAATTTCATGTAAATTAGAACAATGTTCTTGTAATTTTGAACACCAAACATTAACATTGAAATATCTGTTTAATCCTTTATGCGACACATTATTATTTTACATATAAAATCTACATATTTGTGTCATCATATAAACAATTTTATTTACCCTTAACGATCTTATGGTAAATCACTCAAATTTGACATTTGGCATACCATTTGTTTTCTTATATATTACTTATTTTTCATATATACAATCTAAATTTGACCAATTCTTCAATTCCTCAAATTATATCTAACGTATTATATTTTATTGAAATTTATATTTGTGATAAATATCAATAAAAAATTATCAAAAAATTTAAATTTATATGATTTTTTTATTTTTTATATGTATTAGTATTATTATACGTAAAAATATATATATTTTAATTTTAAATTTATTAAATACTATATAACTTAATTAAATTACGTTTTCAATGTGAAATCATAGTTATATTTAGAACCACTTAAATGAAAAAAAAATCCAAGAAATAATCAAAGAGTTTTTGTTTTTGCAAACATTCTAGAGATTGAGTCTCTCTTTTATTGGCCACATCCCATGATAATATGAAAGATGTCCTGCAAAACGCGCCACGTGTTAGGATTACAACTCTTAAATTTTTTTCTTTAAATAATAATAAGTCTCAATAAGTAGTAAAATTAGTTAAATAATACCCACAAACTAGCCTTCCGCTGTTAAGAGGATCCAACCAATCAAAATCAACAACAACTACGATGTACGGTCGTAATCCTAATCGAAATAAACCTATTCTCGTAATTATGTCTCATTCTGAAGGCCATTTATTTAATCTCCTAAAGTTCAAGAAACCTCATCCTTCGCAAAATGTCAGAGTGCCCCACTTCTTGTCTGCTGTGTTAACCAATTAATCACTGCTTAAAAGGGAAATCTTCAAATGTAATTAGCGTTAATTAATTACCAACACCCATTTGATTAACACTTTTTTTTATAAAAGAGTAAATTTGATAATTTGAATATTGGTGTAATGTTTATTTCAAACTAAATACGAGTAAAATATAAAATTATTATATCATAATTTATATCGACATGTTAAATATAAATATTATTTTATTTTATCAAATTTATTTATAATTTTTATTAAAATTTTAAATTATATTATTTTTTAATTTATTGTATATTTTTGTTTTGTATTATTATATTATATTTAAAGTTACCATGTTTATCAAATATGTCACAATTTGATCATTAGTAAATATTTTACATACGATAAAATTTGAACTCAAATTTATTAAATATTATATTTTAAAATTAATCATATGAATTAATTAAACTAAATGTATTAAAATATTTTGTTCCATCTTTTCAAACTTTCTTGTCATACTAATATTAAATGTTAAATTTTTTGTTTTAGTAACTAAAGGTGAGAAAAAAATTAAGAAAACTGAAAATCGAATGGAAACTATAGTTTGTTTTGGTTCAGATTGATTTTTTTAATCAATTCGAATATTAAATATATTATGTTTGAATCGAATTTTAGATCGAAAGGTGAAAAATTAAAAAAAATTAAATTATATATTTTTTAGTTTTTATATATTTGTAAATTTTTATAAAATAAAAATAATAATTTTATATTAAAATTTATTTAAATATATTAAAATTATATATATATTAAAAAAATAAAAAATAAATAAACTGAATCAAATTGAATCGATAAAATTTGATTAGATTTGAAAACATTAAACTGAATTTGATCTAATAGAAGCTGTTCTTGATAAATTAAATTAATAAAATAATTAATTTTTATACATAAAATAAAAATATTTATTCTTTTAAACATTTCAATTTGCTTTTTTCTTCTTTTAACTTGTAATAAGATGCATTTATGTTTGTTTGACTGTAATAGATAGTTGAATTCAACCGCAACGCGAATACAAACAACATTAACGTTGCGGTTGTAATTAAAAATCTAGATTACGATGTTTTAATCTTAAATTAAGGTTTAACAAAGAACGGGTATTTTTGCTAAATATCTGAACCAAAATCAAGGGAGATGGAGAGAATCTAGAAATGCCCATTTATTTAGTTCCTTAAAAACCCAAGGAAAAAAGAAAAAATATAAAATATCTTGAGAAATAAAAGAAATGTGAAGAAAACCAGAGAATAAAAAGAGACCGGATGTTGACAAATTTCATGTCACTGTTCATAGAAGAAGGTCGTTTGTTTGTGTGAAGATTTCTTATCTGGGATCTCTCTCTCTTTCTTTCTCTCTCTAACACCACCCCAAAGCAAAGCAACAGACGTTTGCTTTTTCTTCTCAACCTTCTCTCTCTATAAACGAAAATAAAAATTACAACTTTAACAATATTGTATTTTTTTTTGAGAGAGAGAGAGAGAGGGAGAAAGGAGTGGCCCAGTAGATCGAAATCTCCTGCTTTTTGTTCTTCGACCTGATGATGATCTAAGCTCCTTTAATGGTGTTACAAAAGCACCCACTTGGTTGTTTTGGCTGTATTTGTTACTGTAATTTTTTTTTGTTGTTGTAAAGCTTTAGTTTTTGTTGATACCCTGGGGAGGTTTGGGAGCTGTGAATTATCTATGATGGGGAAGTATAGCAACTAAATCCATGGGAGAATCTTCAAGGAGAGGTGATTAGAGGATGTGGGTCTGAGGTAAAATTGTGTTCCTTTTCACTTTCTGGTAATTTGACTTATAGATAATTTATTTTATTTATTATCTTATGATTTGGTTAACTAGATTTTCTTTTCTTTTCTTTATTTATTTTTTTAGTTTGATAAATTCTGCGGTTATAGTGGCTTTGTAATCGAGTTAATTAAACCAATAATCTTAACTGGAGTTTTTTTTTTTTTTTTTGCCTCATTTATTTTTGATTTTTTCTTTTAGCTTATACTTTGTGGTTTCTGGACTGAGGTTGATGTTAAGTTTGATTTGATGGATGATCATAGGTTTTGTAATGAAATGTTCAGCTGTTAATATTTGCTAATATGTCATATTAATTTAGGTTTTATTTGTGAGGGATCTATTCTATTAACTTTTCTTACCAATCTAGCGTCAAATTGTCCCATTTCTTCATAAATGGATTTTGCTTTCTTGATCATAGGGTTCCTAACTTTCCTGCTTTATCGGCTCCTTTTTCTGCAAAATTCTATCTTTATCTGGAAATTTTCAACATGTATGAAGTAGGTGTGGTGATTAATTGATGATGTTGTGGCTTACATTATACTTCTAAATTTTGGTTTTATGTGTCTGCTTTTGGTGGCATTAGTTAAGAATTTTTGATATGCTATTTTGCTATAGATGATAGGGCACAATTTTTTTACATTTTAGCTTAAACAATGCATAGGAACCTTTTAGCGTATGGAGACATTCTACCAAAAAAAAAAAGTTGTGATGATTCCTTGGTTTAATGGGTATCTTTACAGAATTATTGCTCCTAGCTTCTTAGTTGATGAGACTGCTGTTATGGCACACACCATTTAAAGAGCGAATAGCATCAATGAGGGTTGTTGTCTTCAATATTGTGATTTTCTGGTAGCAAGGCAAAACTCAGCCATATTTGGTGACTGTGTCCTTTATTCTTGTGATGGTTTCTGTATTCCCTGGAGTTGCTGTTGAATTCACACTTCAACCTGGAATATGACCTGGACCTTCAACTATATGACATGTTAAAATTTGTTCAATATTACTAGTCATTTTTATGCGAAATATAAATGGATCATTCAATAATTTTTGTTGCTTTAGCAAGTTAGTTTTTTTCTTCAGGTTGCAACTATTGTGATTATTCAATTATCCTTGAAGTTTTTTATTTTTTAAATTATTTTTGTCAAGTCACTGACAGTGAAGCAGTCAACTGATTTTTTTCTCTTTGAAGTTAAAGGTGGTTTGAAGTTCCTGCTTCTTGGCTTTCTCCTTTCTTGCTGCAATTAGATTTTGTCAATGAAATAATCCATGGTATATGCTTTATTCATGAATTTTTGCGTAGGGTGGTTTTAGAGAAATTGATATTATGACACCAAATGTCCCTTTATCTTTCTTTAAACTCTTTGGTACCTGGGATAAATCATAAATCATGAATATTTGCGTAGGGTAGGTTTGAACAATGTTTGAATCTAAAACAATCTTTCTTTAAACAGGCAACATCTTGAGTTGATCCCTTGTCACGACTACCATAATCAATGCCACCCTTTGTAGGCTTCTTGTAGATGTTATAGTATTTGATCGTGTGTCACCTTAACATCCTGGAAACCTGAGGTTTATGTTGATTCCACTGGTGCATGCAAATGACTAATAATTGCTTGTGATTCATGTTATTTTTGTTTTTTTGGGGTTCAGGCAGGATAGGATCCCTGGATTAGCAGTGTAAAGGTGCCCTCTTTTGTTCCAATGACTATCTTCCAAGGTTTTTAACAAAATGCATCTTTGTTAGAGAAATTTTCTCACATTTTTAAAAATTCTTTTATACTTAGAGAATTTATAGAAAATTTTACTCTTTTGATATATATATGTGTAACCATCATCTACGGTTTGTCTGGTTTGATTAATAATGTGAATGGATAACATTGCAAGTAATTTCCTTAGGCGAATAACTATTAAGATTTGTGTAGTTATGATTGTTTATCTTATGTCAAATTACTTAGACTTGTTTATTGATTCAGGAATGGGAATAAAAGTGCAGCCTAAAAGTTTTCTGCCTGGATATTACTCAATGAGGGATCTCGATGACGATTCTAACAGTTGTAGCTGGCCACTTTATTATGGAGATAAATCCTTGACAAATGGTCAGTATTACAAGAGCTTTTCCCCAGGGGCCTTTGCAGATACATATCCTGGGTTTGACAAGGACATATTGAAGCGAACAATGCTTCAGCATGAGGCAATATTTAAGAATCAGGTAATGAGGTCTCTACTGTTTGTATGCCTGTATTTAATTTAGCTTTATATGGTCTTCACCTGGCATGTTTCAATGAAGTTGATTGTTGCTTGTTTATATACCCCACTTTGTTTTGTAGATAGTTAAGAATCTGAGTTCTCTGTCTTTATCCAGGTGTCCGAGCTTCATCGTTTGTACAGAATACAAAGGGACTTGATGGATGAAATAAAAAAGAAAGAATTACAAAAAAATTGGATCCCTATTGAGCCATCTTTGTCATCAAGCCCGTTAGCCTCACAAATTACAACTGAAGATGCTCACAAATGGCATATTCGCAGCTTCCCTGTGGGTAGCTCTGTTTGTGCTAGACCATCAATATCTGGTGTTGAACATAGTCATTCTCCCTTAAGTTCTGTGAAGGGAAGTAGCGGCCAAGCTGGTCCCTTTCTGTCGCAAAATGGAGTTAATTCAAAGGATGTTGAGGTGCTAGATTGCCGACCCACAAAAGTGAGAAGGAAAATGTTTGATCTTCAACTGCCGGCCGATGAGTACATTGATACTGAAGAAGCAGAGCGGTCAAGTTGTCTGCCAAATGGAAATGGGAAAATTGGGCCTACAAGTGGTGCGAAGCAATTTCATGGTGATGTAGGGAAGACTGGTTGCCTAGGTGATGCTTCAAGATCCAATTCATGTTTGAGGGGAAAAAATAGCTTGGCTGACTTGAATGAGCCTGTTCAGATTGAAGAAACCAATGGTTCTCTATATTCTGACTTTCTAGGCCACGGCCCCTATCATGGAGGCCATGAACTGCTTGCTAAACCAAAGAAAGAGCTTCTTGATTTGCCAAAAGACATTTCTGCGAATTCACATCACCAAAGTGATAATAGGTCCATAAATAATATACATGTGAAGAACAATGGAAATGCTAGAGGATTCTTTTCCCATGTGCTTGAAGCAGGTAATGCTCATTTGTGAACTACTGAACTTGCATTATTTCCTTTTTTTTAAAATTCTTTTCATTTGCTACCTGTCAGGTCTTGTATTATATTCTTTGGCTTTGGCTGATTGGCATTAGTCTAGTTTCTTTGCCACATCTTGTCCAGATGATAATGGATAACAACATTTTTATTTTTATGATTGAGTGTGCTTGTAGTCAGTGGACAAAATAAATTATGTGGTGTTGTCTCTTTTTTTTTTTTTGGCACTAGACAAAAAAAAACTGATATTTGGACTGTCCTATCGTAATTTTACATGTAGTTTTGATTATTCTCATGTGAATATTATCTTGGTTTGCAGGGCATGGTAAAAGCAACTTAAAATCTATTTCTCAAGGTTTTCAGCCAGAGAAGTTGCCTGTATCTTCTCAGCAAGTACAGGTTCTTTTTGACAAGGGTCATGATCCTCCAACATTTTCGCTAACTGATCAAAGCAAGGCAGATCTCTCAAGAGAGAGAATGCTTCACAGTTTAGAAGTTTCTGAAAGTAGGGAAATATTATCCAATATCGGCCATCCAGAGTCAACCATGACTTCCAATGTACCTAGTTTGAATCCATTTGCTTTTTGTGATCCTATAAAGCCATGGTCTCATTCAGTTTCTTCTTGGGAAAAACCTTCTAGTAGCTTAAGCCACAAGTCAATGTCAGTTAAGACTCACCCAATTTTGAATTCATCTGGTTCTTTTAGTAAGAGTTCTGTGATAGCACCCCAGAGCAATGGGAGTTTTGGAGAGAAGTGGCAGATGAGTAGCAATTCTAGACTTAACCCAGGTTTTGAAAGTGAATTGCCCAATCGAAATGGTTTTGATTATGGATCCTCATCGGGGTCCAAGGAACCTGCAATTCGATTTCCTTCCACCAGTTATGATTATCTGAACTGTAGTAATGATAGTAAGGGGGTCTTTGAGCACTTCACCATTCATGGTTCAACTGACCCCTACAACTGCAGAAATAGTGCTGATATGAAGTTTACAAGTGATGTGAATTTGAATGCTGTGCTTTCAAAGAGTTCATCTAATGAGCCAGTTTTGCAACAAGGTCCTCAAATAGATGGAGGAAGAAAGCATGAGGACAATCTTCCAGGGCTGCCATGGCTACGAGCCAAGCCCGCTTATAAGAATGAGGCCACTAGTGCAGGTAGGGATTTGAATGTTGGAGAGTTGAGCTTCTCTCAGTCTTCTCCAAAGCAGTCAACCAATAAAAATGAGACTGGTAATGGTTTCAGTCAAATATTTACACAGAATGTGAAGTCAGATTCATTCTCCAATAATGTCAATGCCAGCAGGAGTGAAATAAGTGAATGCCTGCACAATAAAAAGATTCTAGGGATTCCCATTTTTGAAAAGCAGTATGCTTCTAAGAATGAGTCTTCTTTTACCTCCCCATATGCATCTGTTCCTCAACCATCTGAAGGTGAAGCAGAAAATAAGGGGAGAAATAGGTTACTTGATATTAACTTACCTTGTGATATGACTGTTCCTGACGAGATTCAAGACATTGTTGCAGAGAATTCTGCCCTAGAGAAGGAAGCAGACACAAAGTTATCTAGTTTGAGACATCAAATTGACTTGAACTCCTGTGTTGATGAGGATGAAGGTTCTTTTGTACCCTCTGTTCTGAGCACCAGCATGAAGATGACTGGAGGGATAGATTTGGAAGCTCCACTTGTTCCTGAGCTTGAGGATGTCATTCATGGAGAAGAATTACTTGAAAAGGCGTGTGAATTACCTTTGCAATCAGCACAAAGCAAAGATGACTGCCTGCAGGATGAACTTATCAAGAGTGCAGCTGAGGCAATAGTTGCCATCTCATCATCTGGTCAGTACAGCCTTTTGGATGATGTAAATTGCAATTCATCTGAAACTTCTCAGATAGATCCCTTTAATTGGTTTGTCGAGACAATTTCATCTTTTTGCGAGGATCTTGAGATCCAGCTCGGGCATCTTTTGAGAGGTAAAGCTGGGGATCAAGATGAATCTTCCTCAGAAGAGATTGATTACTTTGAATCAATGATTTTGAAATTAGCAGAAATGAAGGAAGAGGATTATATGCCCAAGCCTCTGGTTCCTGAAAACTTTAAAGTGGAGGAAACAGGAACTACCTCTTCGTTAACAACTCGAACGCGAAAGGGCCAGGGAAGGCGAGGAAGGCAGCGGAGGGACTTCCAAAGGGACATCCTTCCAGGCCTTGCTTCCCTATCAAGACATGAGGTAACAGAAGATCTTCAGACATTTGGAGGGCTTATGAGAGCAATGGGACATTCGTGGCATTCAGGATTAATGAGAAGAAACTTAACCAGAAGTGGGTCTGGCAGGGGGAGGCGACGGTCAGTAACTAGCTCATCTCCTTCTTTGGTAGCCGCCACAACTTGCACGCCATTGACGCAGCAGCTTAATAATATTGAAGTGGGGCTGGAGGATAGAAGCCTTACCGGATGGGGGAAGACAACTAGACGGCCTCGCAGGCAAAGATGTCCCGCAGGTAATCCTCCATCTCTTGCATTAACCTAATTACCAAAACAGGCTTTAATGAATTAATTGAGGAGTACTATAGAGGGAACTAGGTCATTGTTGCTTCATGTCTTCGATAAGTGAGGTTATCATGATCCGTGGGGATTGCCTTTGTACATTTCTTATCTTGAAATTTGGCTACACTTGATTGTCTGTCTTTGAGTGGTTACGGACAACTTGTATTATCCATAAATAATGTTGCATGATTTCTTCCAAGCTTGTGAATTTAGTGAAACCATGAGAGCTCTCCCCGTGTTTTAGGGCTGATTCTAACAATGCCTGTACTTGCGGTTGTTGCCTTGTCTGGTTAATATTTTGCTAAATGTCTGGAAATGTAATACTATTACACACAATGCATATAAAACCAGATTGGGATCCAGAAACACAAGTTACAAGCTTCCTTTTACCGTGACAATGTAACCTATGCAAAGGCAAATGGAAAATGTATACATCCACTTTTAATAATGTAACGGCCGACGTGACCGTTATGGTTATGACCAGGATGGAATGCCTCAACAATTCGTTCAAGAAGACGATAACAACTGAGAAGATAAAGAGGGAACTAAAATTTCAAGTCATTATATATCAACAGTCTTAGAAATGTTGGATTCCCGGGCAATTTGACAATGAGATGTTCACAGGGAATGAAAAAGGTGAAAACCCAAAAACAAATAAATTCCTAACTTTAGGATTTGGGGTGGATTTATCGGTTGAGAAAAAATAAAATTTGATAATTTAAAATATAATATGATAATACGACATGAATATAATATAAAAATAATAAAATTTAAAAATTTAGCAATAATCATATATAAGATTAATAAAATAAAAATTTTTATATTTTTGTATTAATATGAATTATAATATATAATTTTTGTATAAAATATAATATAAATATTTTAATATTTTATATGATAAAAATATATAAATTGTCAAATAAAAAAAATGAAGAAAACAAATAGTATGTTTTATGTGAAGGTTACAAAAGAAAAAAGAAAGGACAAGCCTGACTAAACCAGGTGGGCTGGAATGAAATTATATATATATATATATATATATATATATATATTTATAGATTCTTCTAAGTTTACACAAAAAGAGGATATAATGTGTGGCTTGTCTGTTGTAATGTTTGGCTCCGAATTCCAATGCAGCAGTTGGGCTGTCTTATTGCAGAAACATGGGCATGACTTTCAGCTAAAACTTGTCCCACATGTTGTTTCTTTTAGTTGCACCACCACTCAACTCTCAACCCAACATTTTTTGATGTTTCTGTCTTGAAATATTTTTCAAATCCCATTTTTCTAAAAAAAAAAAAAAAAAAAGAGAGAAAGAGGGAAAGAGAGTGGAGATCACGCGAGGAAAGGGAGCGTGGAGAGGGAATGGAGAAGATCTAACTTTTGTTCCCAGCTTATGACAGCAGAAAGCAGAAGCGTCCCAGTCATTGTCTGACTTGATTTGTCGTACAATCTCTGTGGTCATAGTCAAAATACCCATTGCTTGCCTAACCTTTAGATACTCTCTGACCCAATCATTCTTCACCTATCAATTTCAATATAATTTTTTATTATATTTTATCACCTAAGTCTCAGTGCTACTCTTCCCATGATGTCATGGTTACGGTACGTGATTTGTATAGCATTTTTTTTTAATTTTCATATTTTGTATTATATTTATTTTTTTTATATTTAATAGATATATTTAAATTTATTTATATTTAGTAAATATTTAATGAATATAAATAATTTTCGTATTTTAATTTTTTGAAAAAGTAAAAATTAAAATTTGTTTTTTTTTTAATTTTATATATTTATATAATTTTTTATAAATATATATTAAAAATATTTTTAAATAAAATATATTAAATTAAATTAAATTTTTATATTTTTAATAAAAATTTTATTTACTAAATATATATAAATAAATAAAAGATATAGATATAAATATGAGACAAATATTATATTACTTATTCTTATACTCAATAAAAAATTTAAAATTATACTCATTTTCATCTTTAAAATTTAATACTTATCCTTATTTTCATTAGAGCAAAAATCGAATTTTCCATCGATATGGATAAAGTTGATATATTTATTATTTATTTATTTATTTATTATTTTTATTTTCAGGTTTTACTTACTTTCTATTTATAATTTGGCCTCTCGTATTTTCTTTTATTTATTTTTTTCAAAGAAAGGTACCATTTTTTAGATTAATATTTGAGAAATTATTTTATTTATACTATAATTTTTGCTCTATGATCATGATTAATAAGGTAATACACGCTTTTTGTGATATATTAAAAAATAAAAAATATAACAATCTCTTAAATCTGATTGTGAAATTAAAAAATTTATATTATCAGTGTATAAAAATATATAAAAATATAAACTCTTAATATTTATATATAATTAGTAGACATTTTTAAATTTCAAGAGTAATATAAAAAATGCTTTTACATAATTTAATTATTATATTAATTTATCAACTTTTCAAAATATAACTAACAAAACAAAAAATCAATTCTTTAAAATTCTTCTTATAAAATTAAAAAAATTTCTTTCACAATAAGATAATAATAGATCCACTTGTTTGTTTATTACTTCTTTATCATTAAACCCTTTCTAGTTTTTAACTTTGTTTATTGGTCTGATCATGACCATGACCAATAATGATTTTCTAAAGCATAAGCTGACTTTAACTATGGGGGATCCACAAACAAATTTGATAAACAAAATCATGTCCAATAATCTAGTACTTCCAAACATTATATTATTATTAAAATTTCCTTTGTCTTTATCAAATGGCAGTGCATAAGAGTTGTTTAAATTTGACCTTATTTTTTGATTCTTTATTCTTTTTATACTTCATTTTTAGTGTCATAGACTATATTTAAAGATCATAGTGGGTAGTCGACTCATAAATTTGGCTTAACTTTAACACAAACTCATAATAAATTCTATTAATTAATTCGATTTTGGTAACGAGAGCTATAATTATATTATTTAAAGTTATCATATTACGTAAATTATTATTTTGATTTATTAATGTTAATTTTATTTATACCCAATGAAAAATCGAATGAGAATTGAGACGAATATTAAATTATAGGTATAGGAATAGAGATAAATATAATTATAAAAATTTTATTGGATACAGAGATGATGACGAATAATATAATATTTATCTCATACCTAGACTCTATATATATATTTAGTTAATAAACTTATTATTAAATAATATAAATTATTATTTTAGATTAATTACAATTAATATATTTTTATTGAAAAATATATATTAATATATATTTATAAAAAAATCTAAATATATAAGATAAAAATAAAAAATATATTTTTTTATTTTTATCTTTTTAAAAAGATATTGATATGAGAATTACCCATACTCATTAAATCCATATAGGGATAGAGATAGGAATAAAGTTAAAATACTTGTTGGGTATGAGTATGAGTATGAAAATAGAAATGTGTATAAAATAAAATTCTAGAGATAAGGTTGGAGAATACTTTACCTTTTCTATACTCTAATCATTGACATCCCTATTTTGATGGATTGAAATTCATCAAATTAATTATTAGTTATTATATTTAACATAAAATATTATTATAAAATAATAATTTAACTAATATTACTTGTGAGTAAAATTCTAATTTTACTCTCTAATTACCTATATGCATAAAAATAAAAAAAGAAAAAAGCTTAAACCCATTAAAATTATTTTTTCTTTAATTTTTACTTTCATTTATACTCTATAAATATTAAAAATTGAAAAAAAAAAAAAACGAAAAGGATTCCAATTGCTGCTAAAGGGCAAAAGAGGAAACATAAACTGGATTGCGTGTCCGACCAAACATACCTTTACACCGACAAAATGGTGTCAAAGACAATCCTTTTGAGAGAAACAAATAAATTGCGTAAGTCTCGGAGTTACTTTGAAAAGAACAACCGAATCATTACTGAAAAAACCAAACCACGTTACAAAATGGCGGGATGGTTTAACCAGAAAGCTTTAAACTTGAATAAAAATGGTGATAAAGCTTCTCACTCAAGTTTTCAGTTTCTCTTAACAAGAGAAAATCTTAACCTTCAATGGATGTCTTTCTTACACTAATGACAACCCTTCGATGGATATGTCTCAAGCTTCAGTGCAATTAATTTCTTCAAACCCGTGTTTTGCTCTCCTGGGTTTCTGCAAAAATATCGATTCTCTCAAGAAAGTCCACTCCTTGTTCATAATAAATGGCCTCAAAGGCGATCTTTTATGCGACACCAAATTGGTTTAGCCTGTATGGATCATATGGCCATGTTTAATCTCATCCTTGAATCCGTCGAAATCAATAATAGTTCATCCTTATCCTCGTATGCTTTCACTATAAATAACTATAATGTTACTATAGCAGGAACCGTAATCAGTGAGTGGTGAAAACCAATTCATGCCAGAAAATTTCTGATTTCAGTAAAAGGTTTAATGGATGATATCTCCAACTGATCAGAAAGTATCATTTTTACTCTAGGAAAGGCAAAAAGAAGGAAAGAGATATACTATGGCTATAATACATGAAATCAGTGTCATACGCTTGCTTCATGGTTGTTCTGGCAAGGAATGTGATGTTTCTCCGGAGACACCAATGATACGTTTGAAGCAAACTGCTATGGACATCAGGCCTCATTTGTTCATGCAATGCGTCCACCTTCATCACCTTCTGGATCAAGGGGAATTTCATGCCGGGGCCTGTTGTACTTTTCACGCAACTGCTTGATAGGAATGAAATCTCCAGCTGCATCCATCCCGTAAAATAGAAAAGAAACATAGGGATGATCGAACCTTCTCTGCACATGGATATCAGAAGTCAGATTGAGTCAAAGAGGATAAATCAAGTATCTCGTTTCATAATTACATTCCACTCACCAAGTCTGGTTGCTCTGGGGCTAAAAGATTCTCCTCAGGAACTGCAGCACAGAAAAACATGTATTGAGTTCACCAGTGCAGTAGCCAGACGACTTGCAAAAAATTACTAAAATACAAACATCTGTCATAAATTTTGCTTTTAGAGGTAAGAACTAAGCGAAAAGACTGAAGAGAACTGCAGTTCCAAATGCTGATGTGATCAAATTAAAAAGCGATGACAATGGATATAATACCAATACTGAAATGGTTTACCATATGTCACTAGTAGATTGGGGTCTGCATATACATCAACCAAGACCTGGTGAACAACAGAGAACCTCATTAGAAATATATGATTAAATTGACCCCCACCCTGCTCTCCCTCTTTCAGTGGCAGATGATAATCTCCCTCATTAGAAATATTACATTGCAGAATTGCCTACAGTGTCTTGACCTTAAACCGCTTGAAAGCATGTTCTTCCTTCTCACCATAATTTATGAGGTTCTTATTTAGTTGACTATGTAAGAAATAATGTGAATAATAATATTGACTTTTTTTTTTACTGAAACATTTAAACAAAGGTTCTTTCATTTTTCTGTTTTCATTTTGAAAAAAAAAATCCTCCTGCTATTAAAAGAATACATCACGTGAATATTAATTGTGGATATCAAATACATCCTCAAATGCTGGAATGACCTCAGTAAGGGCACTATCCACTCACAGACCCCAAAGGAAATAGGCTTTCCACGGGGATGATTGTAGCAAAGGCTAACTGGTTATGTGATTATTAGTCAAAAAAGAAAAGCAATGAAGGCCATGTGTATAAGCTCCAAAATTTGGATGATCATCGACTAGGATATAGGCAAGGGAAGTTAGGTCATTATAGAGTTTGATATATCTCTTCCTTGTGCAGTATAATCTAAAGGAAGCACACCTATGACCTGCTTGGATTTTGCTGATCCAAATGTTTATGGTTTCTGTACAGAAATTATGTATACATTACGTTCTATAGGTTTCTGTGTCATATTAATGTGGTCACAACAAAGCAAAAAGAAGTCCATTGCAAAATGAAAGAGGCTTCACGGAAGAGGAGCAGATCAAAGGTCATCCATTAGGTTCCTTGCATTAAATGAACAAATGTAATAACCAATATATAAAATATAAGGAAGATTATACCAACCCACTCCAGAAGAAATACAAAAGTAGTACTAATCAAACCTGATAAAATGGCTGACTAGGACCGCTAGACAACTTTTCAACCTGTGCAGCTTCCATCCATGAACTTGATTCACAACACACTGGATCCATCCCACAAACTACGGCTCGATAACCTGAATAAGATAAACAGGCAGGGGAAGACAGTAAAAAAGAGGACAAGAACCTCATATTAGTGCTTGTCACTGGAAATCCAGACAGATGTAAGGCTCTACAGTGTTGTCCTCCCTTCCGTTCATCCCATCTCTCTCACTCTCTCTGTCTTTACAAATAAGAGGTGGGGGGGGGGGGACTGAACGAGTACAAAAGCAGTAGCATATTGCTATCATGAGAAACAGTATCAATTTACAGAGTGAAACAGGAATTATTTAATGAAAAAGGCAAAGAAGTCAATTCCCAGTACTACCATCTGCATTTTATGGTAGCATTCACGGAGGATGAAGGACAAGAACAACAAAAAGGAGGAAAAAGAAAAGAAGGTCGAAATAATGTAGTGGAAATCATATTTACCAAAAATTTTATGCTGAACTTTCTGTCCCAAACGAAATGCATATTGTGCATTTTCATGTGCCAATGCTTTTGCAGATGCAGCCAAAGATTCTGCCTCGAGTTTGGAAATGTCATTCCGTAATTGAGCTGCCAAAGCATAATTCTCATTCTCAATTGCATTCTGCAGTTCTGCGCTGCAATGAAACAAATAGAATCAATAGTCCAAAGGACCCCAAATGAATCAAGAGAATAAATCATAAAGAAAATCAGTCAACAGTAACACTTTCTCTCAAAACTCAATTATCTGCACTCCAAAATGTGCATAAGATAAGTGTAGGACTCACCGTAGACGCACAAGACTTATAGCCTTATCTTGGGCTTCACTCTTTGATGATAAACCTCTTTTTGCATCTTGCTGCTTAAGGATTTCTGCTTCAACCTTCAGAGCAAAATACTTGTTAATAAACACGCTGCATACGCATTTGCCAACTCTATTCATCATGAAGAAACTTGGATGCACATGATGGCAATCGAGGATACATAAATTCATGATGTTATGATATTGTCACATGAAGGTTCTATAAAATTGATCCTCTGCAGCAACCATACAGTTTCTTAAGTCAATTATAGTACACAAAGAACTGATGCATGCAGTGGGCAAAAATAAAAGTAAAAGATTCTGCCAAACCAATAATTTCTTTAACAGTTGATCGCCATGCTTAAAAAAGAATCCAGCAATTTGTTATAGAGATAAGATGTGGGATCTCTAACCTCAGTAAGCTTGCTTCTAAGTTGCTGTGCAATTTCATATTCTTCCAAATTCAAAGCACGCTGCAAATCCACAAAACACAACATAAGTGGGAACACCTGTCCATGTAATAAAAAGGTAAAAAGCCATATCCTAGATAAAAGGAAGCTGTCATCAAACCTGTACTTGAGTAGCCAAATCTAGCTGGAAAAAGAAAATCAGTATATCCTCATTAGCAGTCTCACTACGCTCTGAGCTTGCATCCAACGCCTGATCACCTCCTCTAAATGGCCACCCGGCTTTAACCCCCAAATTCCTTTTCTTTAACAAATTGGGTTTGCCATTAAAGTAAAAACTTGGTACATACCCATGCCAGAGAGCTTGTATACCAATCCCAGATTTCATATGGGCTTTTCCAGTTATCTCAAAATGCCTCCTTCCCACTACCTCTGTTCCATAAACAGCCGTGTTTCCGGAGGTTGTTAAGGCACTACTCCATGAAAGGGTCTGCACCATTTTTCTTTTCCAGGAAAAAGAATTTTCCTTTTTTTGATGGAAAAAATAAAATTCCTTATTTAATTTCGTCCTCACGAAATTAAGATTCTCATCTTATGAAAAAAGAGAGTACATTAGTTTCAGGCTTTCACAGAGTGGATGGAGCGAGAGAGGTAGGAAATGGCAAAAATTAAAATTAAAGAGGAAATAAAGGAAAATATCAAAATTTAGATGGGTCAAAAATCAAAACCATATGCAATCTGGATGAGGGGATTGCGTATGTTATTCAACGTAGTCCTGACACGTGGAATGTTTGTGGGTCGATAGGGCCGTAGCCTACTTGGGCCCAGTCCTATCGTATCTGTTTTTTTTGCTTGCGGCGTTAGTTTTCTCTGTCGTTTCTCCCTTTGCAGTGAGCACTGCACCCCCGAAAGGCGAAGGCATCGCCGAAAAACATAAGACGATAGCCTGGCGTGTAAATAATTCATCAGTAGTCATAAATTATTTAGGTTTAACTCCCATAAAATTCATATTTAATATGGTACTTGTCAAGTAAATTTTGAAATCGCGTAATTTAATTTATCGAATAAATTAAATTTAAATTTTTAAATATTTAATTTAAGTAATTCATAAATCTAAAATTTTAAATTTTAATATATTTTTATTATTTTAATTAAAAAATTATTATTTTACTTTAATTTTAATATATTTTTATTATTTTAATTAAAAAATTATTATTTTACTTTTATATATATTGGAATTTGAATTTAAATATATGATCAAATTTAAAATTAAATATAAAAATTAAACTTATTTTTATTAAACAATTTTAATTGAATAAATTTGATTGACTTGATTTTTATTTTAAATTGAATTCAAATTTAAAATTTAAAATTTAAAATTTAATTTAATTTAAATCAAATTTCGAACAATAATTTTTAAACAAATTTGAAATTGCCATTATATCATAATTAAATTCAAATTTAAAAATTAAAAATTAATTTAATTTAAACCAGATTTCGAACAATAATTTTGAAACAAATCTGAAATTCCCGTTATATCGATTTCAATTTCAAAACCTTAACGGGAGTCTGAACTCTCACGAGCATTCAAATCAAATTTTATTTCGATTTAAACGTGTTAATGACTCGGTGAACTTTGCAGAGCAAATGTATGCGCTTGTGAGAAAGAGAAAGACATCGTTACAGAGTCAACAGCACAGTTCGACTAGAAGCTCAGATCACCCAGAAATATTATTAATAAATATTTAAGATGATACCAGAGAAATAAAATTACTTTCCCCATCATAAAACAAACATACCCTTGCTCAATAAATTAAGAATAGCTATTTCTACACCATGAGCAACCACCAAATAAAACCCCCATCTGCTTACAAAATACGGTTGATGCGAAATCAAACCAAGAATCAATGGCTTTTATCAATTGATGGAACCATATATTTTATTTCTACGGTCGATGATATACGTATTTCGTCCTGGGATCCACAATAAGACCCTTTCCACCATTCACTTCTAAATCGTGCCTGCAATAATCATATCAACAAACAGGTTAGTCATGAAAACAGTTGAACAATCCAATTGCATCCTTGACACGGTTGTTAGGATTAAATAATTATAACACCGCAGAAGAATGCCCCTTGCCTATAGGTTAGAAATGATGGCATGTTTTGTTTGAAATAATAAAAAGATTAAACTAGATCACTCAACTGAAACACAAAATCGGGAATGGTCAACTGCTCACGAGGAACGTATCTGAATAGCTGCAGAAGCCTATCGAAATATACCACTTTCTTCCACACCTGTAGGGAAATTCCAAGAACATCGAGTTACATCAAGATTCCTGAACAGTAAAATGATTCTTCAATGAGAAATAATTGAGACATACCACATTGTCCACGAACATTTGCAGAGCAAAAATTGCAGCTTTCAAGTGTAAGGTAGGATGAAGAACATATATTGCCTGTACAGCACAAGAAAGAGGATCAAGAAACTACAACTGTATATGAAAGTTCAAATTTGACGGAATATTTATTGCTGCGTACTTGCAGATTACGTTGGTGCTTCCGACCAAGTATTTGTTGTAATCTTCTCATCCATCCTAAGTCTGGTTGGCTGGTTATTCCAGAAACAAAAAAAAAAAAATGTAACATGAGCAGGGAACAAAAAGAAAATTCACACTCAAATTGACTGTTCTGGAAATGCATCAATACAAAGACAGCATAATGGTGCTGTACCAAGACTGGTTTGTATTAATTATAACAGAAATTTCCAAATCTAGATTCTATTTTCCAAAGACAAAGGCATAACCTTTTGTTTGTTTTCATTACTTCTTTGATCATGCAATTGCTTATGAACGCTCATCTGTTATTTCTGTAAGTGTCTGGGAATTGCTCTAATATCATAAAATTTTATATGAAATTTCAGAGAATGACTCGTATGAGAAACTTGAAGATTAACCAGCCATCATAAATGTCAAGGAAATTATTAAAATCACATGCAGTTATACAGCAAGTTCAAATTTTCAATAGCATCACACGGTTTCTTACCCCCAATAGTGGTTGGCTTCCTATCTGTTCTAATATATGTTAATCTTTGATGATCAGATCAAAATCAACGATCCCACCAGGAAGAGCATCATAGCCAATAGCTATGCTACTGATATCACAAAGGAAATGGGCATCCAGAATTCATTGTTTAAAATGTGATGGTTATGAGCTAATAACAAATAACTGAAAATAATGTTATCAGAAAAAACAGGTCAAAAAGCTTTCAGCTAAAGAATTTAGACATTTAACCAAACCCACCATGGTAAATTCCTTAAAGTGCATCAAATTAAACCAAAATTCTCATAACCATACAATACTTACATTTGTAAAGAAGCTGCAGAGTGAAAGTATACAATAGTATAAGGCTTTTTTATCAAGGGTTCAAATTCCTGAAATTAATAATCAAAAAATGATTTCAGCTCAAAAGCCATTTTTCAATAAAAGAATAGTGTTAAGTGTCCATAACCACAAAGCTTTTCCCAAAATCAAGCAGTTTAAATGATGAGTAGTCAATGAGACTATGTCTGGAAACTTTATAGGTCCAATTGAAGCAACTAGTAAGCTAATACCTTTACAACATAGAGAACAAAACGTTCAAGCTCAAGACATCGCAGCAGAAAATGTGCTCCAACAACAACCATAACAGGGCGACCTTCACTGTCCACTCCCCCGCGGTAACTGACATAATACAAATAAAACTAACTAAACATTATACTCAGTCTCAGACCAGGACCAATATAAAAAATATATGAAATTGATGAGTTCCATAGTATAAATAAAACATGGTCCCACGTATAGTTAGTAAAGCCAACAAATAAAAATGGGACATTAAGAAAAAAGGCAGGGGAAAGTAAACAGTCTGAATATTCAGCGGTTTGTTTATTATCATAAGTGCTTCCAGTAACATTGATTGTGAAGAACACAAGTTATTAAATGAAAACGTAAAAGTTTAATCAATCCCACAAATAATAACATATAATAAAGAGGAATGCTAACTCAAGATGGAAAAAATGAAAAGAGATCTGCGTGATACACTTACACAATTTTCATCTCAGCAATTTCAGAAAGATTAAGAGAATTTGCCTTAGTGAGGTATCTGGAGTGAAGTGAGTATTCTTCAGCAGCAGATAATGGAGGCCCACCAAGGTCACCAAATCCAAACATCTTAGCACAATTCCAACCACCTTGTGCTTGAGCAGTTTTTTCCCATTGTTCCTGCCGTTTCTGATCTGGATCTTTGATCAAGGACATGAAAGCGGGATCCAAATATGTATCCAGATAACTTGAGTTCCTGAAAGGATAGCAATCATCCAATAAGGTCATTCAATGACTTGAAATTCAAATACGCCGTGATCATTTATCATAATAAATAAGAAACACGATAATTGGAAGAGAATAAATAAAAGGTGCCATGGAAAACTCAGAGAAGTAAGTTTGTTACACTTCCAGGCTATGGAATAAAAACTACTCTGGTTATAGGTTAAACTCACTATCACGAGGAAATGGTTGAAAGAAATCCAAAGCAAAGTGCAGCTTTATTACACCATGAAAACTACTTAGTTAATTGGATATATTAACCAATTAACTTTTTGGGAAAAAGAGCATATGAAACCAACATATGCACAAGGTTGTGATATAGATACACCTAATTTCCAAATATTTGCACATAATAATACATTTTTGGATCAATCTATAATCAAGAAGAGAATATAAAAACGTAGGGAAATATAAAAGATTTTTCTCATGAAATAGTGTTAACTGACCTTCGTACCAAACCTACATCACTAACAGGGAGTTCGACTGGAGCTTGGGGAGGCTTTGGGGTTGTCTTTTTGGGCAATGGCTTTATTCTGATTTTACGCTCATCAATGATAGTCTCACCATTCTCATCCCCAACATCAGCAGGAAGCTTAAATATGGCCACCTCCTCCTCATGCTTATCTCGAGGAAAGTAAAGAGGAAGCAATCTACAATTTACAATATTAAATGAGAAGACACCTTAAGTCCATAACATTTATTTTAAGCAAAAGAAAAATAACCATCAAATAAAGCAAGCCATCTTTGCAAGGTAGCAGAATCGAATAATAATAGTATAATACCTCTTATAGATCTCAGTATCAGATGATGTGCTAGTACAGAAAACAACAGCAGTGATTTTATCTTTCTGCTTTTCAAGGAATCGCCGAACGGTCCCTGAAGAACAGGAAAAAGTTTGAACCCAGAAACATTCGACCTCCAAAACAGTTTCAATAACATATTAATATGAAACACAGGCATGTAAATGAAACACAGAGTTTTTTTAAGAGCTTTAGCCCTTGTAGAAACCATGCATCAGTGACGAAAATATCATGTATGTCAATTAAAAGAATTTTTAAAAAGTAATGAAGATTCCACAAAAGTCAATGGCTCCAACCACATTATACTTCCCAAGCACATGAAAGAGTCAACTTAGGAAAATTAGAGGCACAACTGGCATCAATCCAGTGCACATATTCAAAATATAACATCTTGTACTATTATTTTTCTTGTTCATTTGATAAGAAAAGCATTTCAAAATTTCCTTGAATTTTTATTCACCACTTTTTGGAATAACAGCATCATATAATGAAATAAAAATTGCAAAATGTAATACCAAAAAAAAATTACTTTGGAATTCCAGATATTTACTTCGGAAAACATCAACAGAATCAGACAAAGAGCTGTAACACGTAGGAAAATTTCTCACTTATAGCCACATGTGCTGCTGGTTCACGGGGATAGTTTTTAGCCTCTGTGTATATACAGCCCATAGCAATACTGCATTCATACATGTCAAGGATATTAAATATCTTACTCCATAAAACAACAGAATAGATGAACAAATTCAAGAAATACATTATATAGCATCCGCAATACACAAACCTCCTAAGACCATTGTCAATGAGAAGTTCAAGGCAAGATCGATAGCTATGACTCAAAGCATTCTCTGCAGCAGTATGATATTTCACTGCATACTTGGGACCAACAGTATGGATAACTCTCCTAACAATATGATACATAAACCATCAGTTTTCAATCGTGACAAAATTTCATGACTAAAATTTAACCTATAACAGTTTTGCTGCAAACTGAATCAAATGTAATACTTAAATTCCAAATTGAAAAATATACCAAGCAAGTTAGTATGGCTGCTCAAATGCGAGCTCTGAACCACAGCTCATGCAGCATGATCACAAAACTGACCCATGCATGATCAAAACAAAATAATGACATCATGCTATAAATGATGAACTAAAGAAAAACAAAGGCATGTGAAAATATTATGTGGGAAAGTGTCACATTTCGTATTTATACACAAATGCATTATCAGTCTGATTTCTTGAGAACGTCATTGAAGTGCAGCAGATGCAAATGTCTGATAATATCCTTGTAAAAACATCATCTTATACACTCTCAAGTTGTACAAGAATGTGGGCATACACACCTAGCAGGAAGATCATATGCATTAGTAACCTTGGCCATCCCTGTTCTGCATCCACCCTATCCATAAAAGCCACATTAAGTCATTCTTGCTTCAGGTTTACTTATTCCCAAGAACTTGCTTCAGAATCACAAAGCTTGTCATACACTAAAGAATAGATTAGAACAGAATTATCATAATGGTGCATCATATCATGAAGTGCATCCATGGAAACACTTCCCATATCATTTCTTCCTGATTAATATTTAGCATACCAGTGTTGCACATTCTTCTGCAAGACCAGGTCCAGCTGCTGCATGCAAACCTTGACTACTGTTTGCTTCATCCAAGTTCTGCAACCAAGCATGCAAAGAACGTATCAGAATATTTACATCTTTAACTAATCAAATGTTGGGTGAGGAACTTTGATCCTTAAAGGGATCAATGCACATGCAGGTCAATTTTGCATATCTAAGTGATAATGAATCAAGCCTCCTTAAAAAGCAATCCTTTTTTTAAAAAATTATTTCTCAATCATCATGTAGCAATTCAGTACAATTCCATGTTGCTAACAGACTTTTTCTCATCATTTCGCTTCCATATTGGCTTCACCATATAACATACATGCGTCAGTGCAAAAATGCAAGGTTCTCGAAATCCAAGGTTAAAGCAATGCATGTTCTTCAAAATATTTTGCATCTTAACGGATGATAGGATAGGGAAAACCTAGTGCTTACCTCATTTGCAGAATTAACAACAGCATCAACCTCAAGGTTCCACGGCTGTCCCCTCCACAAGTATATCTTTGAGTTTATTTCATGATCAACAGGAAACCTCGATACCATCCCATTGATACTACTCTCCTCCCCAGGAGACGTTAAAGGGTCAGGGAAATACGAATTTGAAAATGAAGGATCTTCATTCTCATACTCCAAAGACGACCTATACTCCACATCATTCCATCGTGGGACTTGATCCAAGGTCACAACAGAGTCCACATTGTCGGTTGGGACTCCCCCTCTGGTTGTGACTGTAGACACTGTCCGATACATTGTAAAAGCTCCCAATCAGAGTCCCTAACAGTAGCGAACCCATAGTCCTTTAGGAGCTCAAAATTTAACAACCCAAAAGAAGCAATGAACTATATGATGGAAAAAAAAAAGGGTAATTCAAACGATCCCCACCTGAAAATAACAAATTTATCACAACAAAACCTATATTTTGATTAAAAAAAAAGAGAGCTTTATCAATGATCATCGAAAAATCACCAACACCCACCTTTCAAAAAACCCCCAATTATCGAAACATCCTCATTTGAAACCATGAAAAAACAGGAATAAGCAAGACATCCGCGATTCCTTATCCGAAATTAAATAAATTTTAATAAAAAACAGCAACAACTACCAAATTAAAGCTAAAAAATTAAGCAATTTCGCGTTGGAAAACCTAAACTCGGAAATTTTCGTATAAAATTAAACAATTGACCAGGTCCAAACCAAATTAAAATTTGAAGAAACCAATCACAACTTAGAATTCGATTCATGTAAATAGAAACGTACCTGAAATTGAGAAACTGGGGAATCAAAATTGATTTTTAATTTAATTTGGGGTTTTGGTTTTATTTATTTATTTATTTATGTCGAAATTACAACTATTTTTGCAGGGCCGATTACCTAGCAGTAGCTGAGCTCGTTTTGGGAAGAAATGGATTTGAGTGAAAAAGAAACAAAATTTTTCTTTGTCTTTTTGTATTAGTTTGTCTCTTGATGTCAGTGGCCCTCTAATTTTCGATATATTCCGTTTAAGTCCCTTCCTTTTATAATTCTATACTATGAAGTTCTCTTTTTTTTTTTTTTTTGTATACTTGAGGATGTATGAATCTCGGTATATTCCGTTTAAGTCCCTTCCATTTATAATCATTGCTATGAAGTTCAAGTTTGTTTGATACTCGAGGATGTAAGAATTTCGTGTAAGTATCGTGAAATAAAATTTGATCCTATTAATGATATTAAATTCAAGTGACTGAAATTAATAGTTCAATATTCAATTGTATGTCATATGCTTATGATGCTATGAAGTTCAATATCCTTAAACTTCATGCATAAAAACAATTTGGTGGCCGACAAATAATTTAGAATGTTTATACTCTTATATTTTATAGTCATAAGTTCGATATAAACATAATCCACGTATGAATTTGTACAAATTTTGTATTTATGGTATAATATTTGATTAATTAGCATTGTTTTGTTGTCTTTTGGTTGGGATTACAAGCATAAAAAAGCTTATTCAAGAACTATTTCTTTCCATTGGAATGGAAAACTTGAAGCTAAACATGCTCACAAAAGATTGAGACAAGCAGTTAGTCAATCATGACCATTTCAATTCAAGTATGATTTTCAAACTTTCATCTGCCCTCAATGTCATACCAATTGTTTGATTTATGGATTTGAGAAATGAGGAATTTTGTTTAGACCAAAATCAGTAAAATGGCTGTCTTGCATGTTTGACTAAGCAAGTATGATATGAAAATCCTCCATTCATTTTGCTCCAGCCTTTTCCTTCAACATTGCAATGAACTTTTCTTTGTCTTCAGGAGACATTGCCTCTACTGAACAATCCCCTACTCCCCATTCCGCTCCACGTATGCAGTACTTGTCTTGAAGTTCTTGCTTGTTCCTGGAAATTTTCACATTGCAGGAAACATCACAATTCACAATTGAATCTAAAGTCGAGCAATTTTGACCTGAATTATGGTAGTGAAAGTGAATTACTTTTCTTTGTTCTGCTTTGATCGCTCTAACAGCTGCTTAAGCAAGGGAGTTGACTTGAATCTTGCATCAGCTTCAGCGTACTTCTTCTGGTTTTCTTCTGCAGACACAAACGCCACCTCAAAGCTAGAATTTAGAGCACAAATCTTAAAGAACTACAGTGAGAATGATAATCAAACCATTGAAGCGATTTAGAAAGTCAATTTGAGGTAATTGAGGACCAGGAACTGATTCTATTCCAGAGAATCCTGATAGAAGTCCAGCTTTAGCTGCAAAAACAAAAACAATAAATGCTCTAGTGATCATTTTTAATTATACCTTGAATTTCAACAACTATCAAGTTCACTTCTTATGGAATTTGAAGGAGACACAGCATTGCAGTGTCAGCCATTAATCTCAGGCCATGAAAGAAATAGCTCGAAGTTGACAGGCCAAATTGATGACCATAGCACATCCAATCCAGCAAACAATTTTATTAATAAAAACTTAAAAATGGAAAAAAAAGAAAGATAACCCAACTTACCAAACTGGTAAACGAAATAGTTAGTGCACTCAATTTGAAGCCATGAAACAAAAACAAGAGAGCCTGATTCTATTCTATCGATCTACCTGGAATTGGAGAGAGAAGAATAGTAACTGAAGCAGCAACAGGTACAAGAGACTTGCGTAGCACCTGGCAGTCTAATGGTAAACAACAACGTGAAGAAGAAGAAGAAGAAGAACTAGTTTTCAGGTTTTTAAAGGAACTAGTGGAGATCTTTTTATCAAGGTAAATGGGGAGAGAGGAAGCTGTTGAGCAAATCATTGTTGGGATGTTAGGGCCTCTCTCTCTTTGAGATGAAGAATCTTAGGAGAGATAAGAGGAGGGGAAGAAACAACGAGCGGTTGATATTAATTTTAAGTCTGTAACTGGTAATGACATTATCTTTAGCTTAGGATTAGTTAAGTAGTATGTATTAGGCTATTAGATTTATCTGTAATTGCAATTGGCAAACTTTATTTCGTCAATTAAAACTGCCATTAAATTTGCCTAGTTAAGTAATACAAGAGATGGTTACTTTATCTCTTACCTATTTCCATTTTTATAATAATTTTAATTCAATTATAAAATTTTTTTGATAACAAAAAAAATCAGGATTTAAATTTGGAATTAAAATTTTAGATTCTTTGGATACTATCTCTTAAAGGTAACTGTATAAACAAATGTTGAGATTCAATTATACAAATCTGATTACTATGTAATTCCTTTACCTAACATATTTTGCATGTGTTTACAACAATAAATTTCTAATTTTTTTCTTAGATTTTAATTACAATCACTAAAAAAAAAAATGCGTTCATTTACTCTGTAATTGGTGCAGGATCTCGTCTCACAAAAAAAAAAAAAAACAGGGTTCAAATATTTTTTGTCAAATAAAAAAATTCATTTGCATAAAGAATTTTGCAGATTTTTTACCAATTTCCCTATACCTATGGGCTTTGAAGATTTGGCTATTTGCAGTACACAGAATTTGTTAATACCCATGTTCTAACAACGTAACAAAGTACCACTGACAATTTGACATGATTTTGGGGCTTATGAATCTAGTCCAGTACCTCCTGAGCTTCTTCTTTGCTAACAAAGGCCTCAGGCTTAGAGCTTCAAGCCCATACCAATGTCGCAACTTCTTTGCCTATGATACGATGAAGTATTAGCTTTTAGTTCAAGTTTTGCGAAGTTTTGTCTATGGTGTTTTAGGTGTTGGTGAGAAGAGCAATGATATAGAGGTCATATGATGGATGGTCTGTACCTCCTATAAAAAAGTACAGTTAGAGGCATAGGAATTAGTTTTTCAAGAAGTATTTCGATGTTAAAGTCACTTTAAGTATTTAAGATTTGGTGAAGAGAGTCAATTGCGAGGAGTATTCAAGAAATTTAACGGGAAAAAAATTATTGGTTCATGCCGTAACTGAACTTTATTTTTTTATCTTATATATGAGAAGAATAATGGTAATATTATCAAAACAGTAAATAATTAATGATAAATTTACGTAAAATTTGAAGAAAGATTAAACAAGTGAGTATGAGTTTTATTTAATAATCTCAGATCAACATAAATTATATTTAATGATTTCAAATAAATTAAAAATCAATGAATCTATTAAGTGGTGATATCTTAATAAAACGTTAACGAAGATACTTAGACAAATGCTTTCTTGAGAAGGGCACACCCGCTTCGTGGCGGAGAGTTTAGATGTCATCCCTTTCTTGTGTAACATAACAGTCGGGCGTGTACCGACTTAACAATCATAGTGACTAACCTTGTAGATAGTTACAACAAGTTTTAAACACCAATCCACAGGGCATCTAAAGTTTTTCCTCTGATAAACCAAGTTAAACCAGACTATGTACTTACCATTGAGCTTTTAACCAGAGATCAGATCAGAAAACAAATAACTTGTACAAGTTTTGTTCGTGTAACAACATGTAAAGAACAATGATTTTTCTTCAACTCATTTGTCCAACGATCACTCCAAGAGGACTTAAATTTAGCTGTTGAAAAATGTTTAAAACTTCATCTAACTAGCATTTGGTTTACTTGGTTATTAATCTAAACGCAGTAAATGCTAAATAGAGCAGCTGCCACCAATCAGCTAATTAATTATGCCATTCTGTTGTTCTTCCGGCTCTGGAAAAGTCTCTTCAACATATTCTCGCAACTTCCACCAACCCCTACAGCCTGTCTAGCCTCTTCACTGATTCTTGCAGCTTCCAACTTCAACATTTTACTCTCCATCAGCTCTTTAATTCTGTCCCCAATCTCCTCTCCCTTCACCAAAACATCCAAACCCCATCCCCCACTCTTCACGCCCAGCCCCCATCCACCTCCTTCTATCACCTCTGCATTGATCATCTGGTCCCCATGTTGTGGCCATCCCAGCATAGGATTCCATGCCAAGCTGCCTCCACCACTGAGTTCCATCCGCAGTGGCTTATGAATCCACCATCAGCCTTGTGACTTAGTATCTCCCACTGATTCACCTATTCTTTTATGACCAATCCATTGTTCTTAATCTTCTTCATTAGCTGGTGCCCGAGAATCTCATCCAAACTCTCTTCTTCTTCTTTGTCAACTACCTTACTCTTCACTACCCACACGAATTTATATCCACTCAACACTAGCCCATTGCCTAACTCTCTTATTTGCTCTTTTGACAATGGTGTCCTGCTGCCAAAGCTGACATAAACTACCGACCCTTCCTTTTGGCACTCAAGCCACTTCAATGGTGCAAAAGCAGATTGCCCCTCGAACTCTAAGGGGAGAAAAGGTCCAACAGGCAACACTGGAGGCAATCTTTCTATAACTTTTGCACCAGTTAGCATCCCCAGAGATTGCTTTTCGAGCCCTTCAAAAGAGTTGATCAACACCCCGTTGACATTCTTGATACTTTGACTATTGTCTGAGAAATTTCTTCTAAAGAAACTGTTTGAGTCTAGAAGTGTTGGGGGAAGTGACGACGTGGGGATTGGTGAATCAAGGCCTGGAATTCTAATTTCATCCCAAACTGGGAAGAACCATCTTCGGACTTGGACACAGCAATCGAAGGGAAGCGTGCGAAAATGGAGAACATCCTGGCTGATGTTGTGAAAAGAACATAGTTAGGGAGACATAGATTAGTGGTGACTGGAATGACAGAGGACATCAAGGTCATATCAGTGACGATAAATGAGAGGGGTGGAGAAAGCGATGAGATGAGAGGATCGAGGAGGTGTGCTGATCAAAGAATAGTTTCCCACTGGAGGTAAAAAGGGTCATTACAATTGGCAGTTAACGGATCAAGGGGGAGGAGTGTAAGCTTCTTGTCAGTAACCTGAGGAAAGGCTGAGAGGAAACGAGAGATAAGTTGAGATTCAGCAAAGGAGACTATTGGGTGCGTAGTGATTAAAGTGACTTGACATTGATGGTGGATAAGAGAGGCAGCAAGTCGAAGGAAAGGTAGCAGATGACCCATGCCAGAGCTAGGGAGGAGAGCAACATGAAGATCAGAGTTTGACATGCTAACTAAGCCTGGAATATGCAAAGCTGAAGCCTGGATGAGTAGAGAAAATAGGTGAGGATCGTTTTGTTATGGTGTGGTTTGGTACTTGGAGAAGAAAACCTGTCTCAATTTAACAAATTATCAGGTCACCAAATATAGAGGATTGGTTAGGGATCGGCTCCTTAATTTTCTACTCCTCGTCGTTGGCTAAACAGTGGTATAGCCAACTTACCTTCTTGGGTAGAATTTATCAATGACTGGAAGCCATTGCAACAAAAATGGTTGGTCAAGTATTAACTCGTGCAGGGCCTGCCCCTGCCCTGAAGTCGTTGACAGGGAAATAAAAAGAAAGTATAGCATGTGCTCATACCTACCAAAAAAGTAAATATAAAAGTCCAAAAGAATAAATTACAGAGAACCGAACCCTCAATAGCAAAAGCCATTCCTGGCACAAGCAAAATAAAAAAAATAGAAGAATAATGGAGTACATGCCAGACTGCAAGTATGTTACAATAATTTAACCTTGATTTGAAATAGAATACACATGGCCCAAATTTTGAAATTCTGAAATGCTGGGCTTTCGGCCATGTCTACAACCTTGATAAACCAGGGTCCCTCCATAGTCTATTTTGTTGCCAAATTATATATATATTTTTCATCATGAAGATAAAATTTTAATATAAATACTAATAAAAAAAGATTTAATTTCAAACAAGTTCTTGATGTCCCTAAAATATTTTTAACCACTAGGCTAAAGGTTAGAGACGCCAATTACATTATACATGTAACATTAACAACTATGCAGAGAAGATGCTAATTATCAGAAAAATGAGTCCATGAGCTCACTCAGACTTCTTCCAGCTTTGCAACAGCTTCTTCAACGTATCCTGGCAACTTCCATCAACCCCAACAGCTTTCTTTGCCTCTTGACTGATTCTTGCAGCTTCCAGTTTTAACGATTCACTCGACATCAGGTCTTTAATTTTGTCTCCGATTTCCTCTCCCTTCAACACAACATCCTCGCCCCACTTCCAACTCTTCACACACAGGCCCAATCCAATCGCTTCAATCACCTCTACATTAATCCTCTGATCACCAAACATACGTTGTGGCCATGCCAGCAAAGGCACTCCATACAAGGCAGCTTCCACCACTGAATTCCATCCGCAATGGCTCACGAACCCACCAACAGCCTTGTGACTTAGTATTTCCCATTGATTCACCCATTCTTTTACAACCAAACCACTGTTACTACTCGTAATCCTCTGCATTAGATCATGTCCCAGTATCTCATCCAAACCGTCTTCTTCCTCTTTGTCAACTATCTTAGTCTTCACCACCCACAAGAATTTACACCCACTCAATACTAGCCCCATTCCTAACTCTCTTATTTGCTCCTTTGACGTGGCTGTCCTACTTCCAAAGCTAACATATACCACTGACCCTTCCTTTTGTTCCTCTAGCCACTTTAAAGCGGCAGGAGATTCTTGACCCTCGAACTCACAGGGCAAAAGAGGTCCAACGGCAAACACTGGTGGCAATTCTTCAAGTACTTTTGCACCAGTAAGCGTATGGAGAGATTGTTCTTCTAGCTCTTCAAATGTGTTAATCAAAACCCCGTTGACTTTAGAGATTGTCTGACTGTTGTCTGAAAAAATTTTGGCAAATAGAGTATTTGAGTTTAAAAGTAGTGGAGATAATGACGATCTGGGTATTGGTGGAATGCCAGGAATTTCAATTACGTTGCCAAATTGAAAAGAACCATGATCCACAGCAATTGAAGGCAAGTACGCCAAAAGGGAGAACATTCGGGCTGATGATGTGAAGAGCATATAGTTAGGGAGACACAGATTTGCTGTGATTGGAATGACGGACGACATCAAGACTATATCAGTGATAATCAGTGAGAGAGGTGAAGATAGCGAGGAGATGAGAGGAGAGAGAAGGTGTGCTGACCGGCGAATAGTTTCCCAATGGAGCGCAAAAGGGTCGGTACAATCGGCTGTTGCTGGATCAAGAGGGAGGAGAGTAAACCTCTTCTCGGTAACTTGAGGAAAGGCAGAGAGGAAACGAGAGATGAGTTGAGATTCAGCAAAGGAGACAACGGGATCTAAGGTGATCAAAGTGAGTTGACAATGGCAGTGGACAAGGGAGGCAGCAAGACGAAGAAAAGGTATCAGATGACCCATTCCAGAACTGGGGAGAAGAGCTACATGATGATGAGAGTGGATACCATCGGAGTTTGACATGTGGATAGTACGGAGATGCAACAGCTGTAGCGTAGATTAGCGGAGAGACTGAGAGAGTTGGTGTTAATAATTGTCTACCAACGTGGGATTTTTATAGGGGCTCGTGTACCTCGATCCTCTACTCCAAGGACACTAGAAAATAGCCAACAAACTTTCCTCAGTCACAACAGCATGAATGGTAGTAATATACTATTATCTTGCACAGCCTTGAGTAGTTGGAAGAGCGACCAGCACGTTAAGGATCTGCTCAGAGACAGTTTCAACTTTCAAGCAAAAAGAAAAAGATACAAAAATTCATACAAAACCGGTAAACATAGCAAGCTAGGTCAACTCCAGCACCCCATTTTCTCTCCATGAACTCCAGCACCCTAAAGGCATGTCATAAATAGGTCAAAGCCAGCAGCAGGGCACTATGAAAGGAGTAGAAAATCTAGTTGAAATAGGCAATACATTGGTCCTTCACCTAATAAACTATGCAACAACTCCTCTTTCATTGCTCCAATAGGTTCTCCACATGGAGAGATAAACAATTATCTGTGGATTTTTCCAGGAAAACATTTTTTAATGAGCAGAGACACTCCAGCCACTTGCCTATAGTCAGATTCATCCTTCAAGCATGGCCTTGGCAGCATCGATCAGTATTGGTCTAAAATCATTTGAAGCTTGGCCAAGAACAGTACATCCTTCCTTGTCCTCTATGTCCACATCCGCTCCATGTCTTATTAGAAGGAGGGCTACCTGTCAACCAAATAAAAACAAGTTGACTAAGAAAATCCCACAGTCCACAAAATTTCATAAGACGTTTCCCGCCATTACTATAGTAGCTTAAAACTGAATGGTCTAGACTGTCCATTACTTGCAATTATATCAAACGTGAAAGCAATGATAAGAAAATGAAAAATAGAAGAGGTTAGCCAGCAAGAATGGGGAGAATAGTCGGCAATCCTTAAACTTTGTTTCTCAAGGCTCAAAGAGAGTACCTCCTTGTTATGACAAATGACTGCATTCATGAGAGGAGTTTGACCAGCTCTGTCAGTAGCATCAACTTCTGCTCCTTCCTCGATTAAGAGTTCACATAATGCCGAGTTTCCTGTGCTAGCCGCCCTATGCAACGGGGTGCATCCGACCTGCATTGAATCATGTTATCAACAGATGAAACAGAAATTAAAATGAAAAATACTGCATGAGGAATGGAAAAGGAGAATAAAAAATACAACGCCTATATAAGAAAAAACGATATGTGAGTGAAGTTACAAGCCTTGTCCTTCGAATTAATCTTTGCACCATGAGAGATCAGAAGTTCAGCAATCTTCATCCATCCCTTGCTAGCAGCATAATGAAGAGCCGTTCGGCCACCATCATTTTTCAAATTAACATTCGCTCCTTCACAAAAGTAAATAAAAAATAAAAATAAATAGCATCAGCCGAATGAAAAATTTGTTCACTTGAGATAACAATCACATCAAGAACCCCACTTATGCTCAATTAACATCCTCGATAAAGAAATTTACAGCATAACAAATTTTTTCCTTAAACCAGCTAGAAGATTCTGAGCCAACAGATATATGCACAAGTCAATTCAATATAACTTGAAGGAATTTCTGCATTATCTCTATGCCTTGCAAAGAAGTGATAAAAAGGTAAATATCGGGAAGATGAGTGAATGTAGCAGTGAGGGCGAGACTTAACTGTGTACATTAAGAAAGAAATGAGAGTCAAGTAATAAGTCAAGGGAGTATAAATCCAGTGGTGGAAGAAATTGGGAAGCATGATGGGAATGAACAAGTCAGTCAATGCGGCAAATGGTGGTGATCAAGGAACTCAAAGCTGGTTCGGTGAAGTCATTGGTGGTGTTCAGAGTGTTTTGGTGAAGATGCTGGTGTCAATGGAAGTGAAACTTTTAAGCTTTGGGAGTTGTTGATTGCAACATGCTCTGTTGCAAAAAGGAAAGCCCTAAACCAAAAAGAACAGAATTGAAGATCTAGTATGACTTATGAGTGCCGCAGAAGGTTTCCAAAATATTTGAACTAGTTGCAGTTTTATTTTTCTTTACCTTGCTAAAGGTCCCATTACAGCCTATATATTTACATAATTACAACTACCCTACTTATATGCTCAATTAACACCCTTGATAACCAAATTAACAGCATAACTTTTCCATAAACTCAGCTAGAAGATTCTTAACCAATTTAAGTAAATATATGCACAAGTCAATTCGAAACAACAGAAGTTCTACATTAGAATCAATGTGAAAAGTCAGAATTGAACAAAGTTCTAACCTTTGCTCAACAGAATTTCTATAATTTCCAAATTACCAATACTCGCGGCAGAGTGAATCGGAGCCCAGCCTTCTTCATCGGAACTATTCACAACTGATTCATCAGCAACGGCTGAGAGTATTTTGACCACCTAATGCAAATTGATTCCTTTCACATTAACAAATCTTATCCAAAAAAAGAAAACTTAGGAGATGGAGAGAAGGACGGAGTTACCTCGGGGCGGGCGGAGGAGACGGCGACGTGGAGAAGAGATCGACCGTCTTCATTCCGGAGTTGAAGAGACTTGGAGAGGTGGTCTTCCGAGAGGGATTTGAATATGGAAGAATCGCCAGTCTCCGCCGCTTTGAAGAGATCTCTTTCTTTAATTTGGAGATCTTCTGATTTCTTTGGAGGATCGGTTTCCATTGTCTACGGTAGGATTTCACGGTCGAATTGCTGATTTACGGTTTGCGATGGTTTTGGGGATTTTTTGATTCGGTGCGCGGTGTGCCTGTTAGTGACTGTGACTCACAGCACGTCAGTTAATTTTTCATAATCGTAGTATTAAAAGTTAGAAAGGAAAAAAATTAATTAATTTATTTAATCTAATAATTTTAAACCCTATATGAAAATGTCATATAAAAATAATATTAAAAATATGAAAATAACATAATTTAAAATTTTGGACAAAGCATATATTTGTTTGATAAAATTAAAAAATTTTATTTATATTTTAATTTAATATAAAATAAATAAAATACATGGATTATTATATTTATTTTAGACATATAATAAAAAATATATAATGATCTTATAATTTCATATTTAAAAGAAAATCATATCTGAATATATCACCAGGAGAGAAAAATAATCCAGTTAAACAGTTAGTCGGTTTGAAGGGGTAGTGAAACGACGACGTTTAATGTGGTTCACGCTTTGTCCAGGTTGTACCGGACTATGAGGTGAATTACCCCTAGTCGGCTACGTTGGGGAAAGAGAGAGAGACAGAGAAAGAAAACGCCCAAATCCTTTCTTTTCTTTCTCATTGGATCTCTTCTCTGCTTCCAAACGGACCCACCTTTCCTTTGTCTTCAAATTCAGCCAACTTTCAAGGTAAATTTCCTTCCTTTTTTTTCCATCCTTATGAATCTGTAAAACTTTATGATTCCAATCTATGTCCTTTTTTTTTTTCATTTTTCAAGATGTGGGGTTTTGCTTCTAATGCCATTTCAAGCATTGGGTTGAGGAGTTCAAAAGAGGGTCGAGCTTGTTCCGAGTGTTCAGACGATGAGGTGTGCTCCAATGGTAGTAGAGATGAGGGATTGGAATGTCCGATTTGTTGGGAATCTTTCAACATTGTTGAAAATGTGCCTTATGTCTTATGGTGTGGTCATACCCTTTGCCAAAATTGTATCTTGGGGCTCCAACCTGCTGTTTTGAAACTCCCCACTCAGCATATAAAGATACCTATGTTCATTTCTTGCCCATGGTGCCATTTGCTATCGCTCCGCCTTGTTTATAACGGGAACCTCAAGTTCCCTCGCAAGAATTTCTTCGTTCTGTGGATGATCGAGAGCTTGAATGGGGATAGGAATGGCTTTGTCTGGAGAACATCATCTGAGGAGCATCAACCCATTGGCTTTCCTAGATGTAATCTAATGCTTGGGAATCAAGCTATCAATGGTGTCGTTAGGAGAGGGTCATATACTCATCGTTCTGAACAAATTAGGTCTCCAGATTATGGTGGCAGAAATAATGTGGAGAGGCATCATTTCTCACTTCATAAATCGTTGTATTTCTTCATTCACTTTGTGTTCAAGTTTCCTTTGGTCATCATATTACTTCTGATTGTCTTCTTTGCAATACCGGGGAGTGCTGTTATCTTATTACTCTATTTGCTAGTGACAGTTGTTTTTGCCGTCCCATCTTTGTTGGTGCTGTACTTTGCATTCCCTATGTTGGATAGGCTGGTAAGAGAAATAACCTCATGAGATGTTATTTTATCACTTCAAAGTTCTGAGAGATATATGGTTCTAAATGACTTCAATCTCCAAATGAATTCAACTAATGGTGTAATCTGACATCATCCTTCTTCCAATACTCACTCCACTGCTTTATTTGGCATTTGGTAACTTCATTGCTGGTAATGGGAGTTTTTAATATGCTGAAGCTTTTAGAAATTCTATTGTTTTCATGATGGAGTGTGACTTCAAAATGTCTCAAAGGCTTGTTTTAGCAATTGTGATTGTGTCCTTGATTAGATGCCATTAAAGTGGCTGCTCACCTGTTGTACAAGCTTGAGTTCCCAAAATAATATAAGTGCAGTTAATTGTGGTGGTTATTTCTTCTCTCTATCTCTCTCTTATTTATTGTCATAATTTTTCTGCATTTTGATAAAAGATAGTTCTTTGTTTTTGCTACTTTCAATTGTTGCAAGCTTGGTTGCTTAATTTTCTACCCTTTGAGAATTACTGTGACTCATTGCAGCTTTTGTCATTGTGGTGTATGCGTTACTTCCTATTATAAGTTTAACTGAGATCTTTAACTATACCAGAGTGCACAAATGGCCTTGTTTTTGGTTTAGTCTTCATTTTGATGGTGGTTTCAAAGGAAAGGGGGGAGGGGGTGTCCCGGCTTTTTACTTGGGCTCATATCCAGTACTTTCATCTTATGAACAATTGAAATGGTTCATCTCTCTAATTATTATCTTCCGCATTTTCTGCATTGGATCCTGGCCTGGTATTTAGTAATGAACTTTGTTCTTGTTCTTAAGAATTCTTAGATATTTTCCTATAGTGGCTACAGTTGATAGTGGTCAGTAACAGATAGGCCAGTAGTTGCTTCCATCCTTGTTTCCTTGACAGTCAGAGTAGATGATTGGTGCCTTTTTTATGGAAAAACATACAAATTTTATCAGATAATATTGTTCATAAGTGCATTTAGTTAGCCTGAGATAGGAAGACGACTCTGGGAGAATTTAGTAATGCTTGCTTTATTAACTGTATCGATTATGCCTATTCATTATCTTGTAGAAAGTTGACTATGTGATCTAGAGGTGAGTAATTGTTATAGCTTGGCTTGGGTTGCAGTCTTAGTCATCATTTTATTCTTGTTCATCATGTGGAGATCTTTTCATTTACCAAAAATAAAAGTTTAACGTAGAAACATTGTGGTCAAATTCAGTATGGAGGGTCCCAATATTAGTTTATTATTTGGTTACAATTTTATGTTATAATGTGCACAATCTATGCTATTAACTGAGGTTTCAAATTCTTTGCATGTTCTTTTGATCCTTTTATATTTCACAGTTCCAAGATAATTCTTTCTTGTTATTCATTAGTGATGGCGGGAGGTGTTTAGATGGTTGTAAATTTGGACAATTTAATGAGCTTATTTTCTCTTGTCCACTTTTTTTTTTTACTTTTAGATTTATAATTTCCTTTGTATAATAACTTGTGCTATATGAGAATTTCCATGAAAGATTGGATTTTCATTCATGCTTCTGCAGCAATTAAATTTTGGATTACCTTCAATCTTTGAGATTATTCAAATTCCTTCATAATCAAAGAGAAAACAAATTCTGCAATTTATCACCATATTCTAAGCATTATAAATCTATAATTTGATTTTGAGTAACAGAGTCTTGTCCAAGGACAATGGGGTACATTTTCCTGCATCAGCTGCTATATGGCTTCATTTTTTCATACTAAACAACAGTCGTTAGAAATATTAGTAAAACTACTTGAGGTTCTTGAAGCAACTTCTCATTGAAACAAGTGTTAAATCATTCAAATAATGGTGACTCTATTTGTGATTGGCATCCTTTTGTTAGTCGCAGCATTATGAAAATAATCTTCCCATATGTGACTTCAAACTCATGACACTAGATTATTAGTTATGTTCAACAGCAGAAGCATGTCCTTGGAACCTCTCCTGTTGTTCTAATTATATTTGCCTTTTCCTTTGCTTTAAGCTCATCATTTCTTTGCCTTGCCTCTGCCTGTGATCTTGCTCCATCTGCAGCTTTTTTGATATAGTCCATCTCATCCCTAAATTTTGTTAAGGCTCGTTCTCTCTTTTGCTGCAATTCGCTCTGCTGCTCCATGAAATAGGCTGTTAGTTTCTAAGAACTAGTTTGAATTAAGAGAAGTAAAACAATTCTAACCTCTGCTTTTGCCAGCTTGTTTCCAGCTTTCTTCTTCTTCTTTTCCTCCCAGGCAAGTATAGTGTTATTTAATTTCTCATACCTGTAATCTATCTGTTAATGAAGAAGATGATATAATACTAACAGAAAGACCTGTAATCTATCTGTTAGTGAAGAAGATGATATAATACTAATTGCTTGTTGAATTGAAGATGGACTTTTTATGTTGGCATTGCATTTGTTGTTTTAATGCCGTAGAGTTACTTTCTGGCTTTAATAAATTGCTATTAACTGGTTAATACTATAAGATACTATGTAATAAGCTGCCAATGAATGATTACCGTTCTTTGATCCTGGCCATCTCAGCCTTCTCCCAAGCCTCTGCTTTTGTCAGCTCTGTCTCTGGCCTTCCTGCACTCTGTCTTTTGGCATCTATCCCCAGAGCCACAGGCTTAATGGTAGGAGGCTGTTCAGGTCTGGTTGCTGCTGCTCCTGTTTTAAAGGCGGGATGATCAGGTTTTGGTGCTGCCCTTTCAGGTTTTATGCGAGGGAGATCGAGCTTTGGTGCTGCACTGTCAGGTTGTGGTGCTGCACTTTCTGGTTGACTGGAATGCAAATCAGGTTTTTGGGAACTTCTGAGTTTTGTACTGCTAGCGCTGCCTATATGATCAGCAAAAGTAAGAGATTTTTTAAATGATGGAGCAGGTCTAGTAACCTGTTCATCCGTGGCATCATTTACTGACATTTTGTTCTCTGCACTTTCCGAACCTTTCGTCAAACTTTCACTTGTTAATTTCTTTTGGTTAAGCAGCAGCAGCAAGAAGAAATATTTAATACTTTGTTACATGGATATCTGGATTCTATTTCTCATGCTTTGCATCTTTACCTGAGAATCTTCTGGATACAGCGCCAGGTTTCAATATTGAAATGGTTGTATCTTCCTTTCTGCTCTTATCCTTGATCAAAGAGGGCTCAAGACCTGCACTGGTCTTTTTTTGATCTTGGATGCTTTGTTCTGCAATCAAGTTAATGACATATGTGGCAGCTGCAACTCCAACTACTTCTTCTGTTTTATGGTTAGAATCATGATTCCAACTCATCATTTTGCCAGAAAATTGTTTTTGAAACCAGTTCTGGGTTCTCTCCTCTGCAAAATCCAAAATTAAGGTATGTTATTGTTGCTTCAACTTTTTATTTCCTACTCTCTAGAATGGTAATGAAGGAGAAATGCACTTATTGGTACAAAAAGAGTATAGTTTCTATGTTCTTTCATTTTATTCTCATCAATATGGGATCGAAAACTTGGGAAGAAAGCATTAGTGTTACTTTTGCAACCTCCTTTGAAAGATTGAGTTTTTTTGTGGTGGTATCCTTTCTAATACAGCTTGACCCTTCTGTTCTTCCTTGTTGGGTGCCGGAAAATGTTCCCCTGGCATAAGCAATCAGGCAAATAGCAGCAGATTTCTAAGGACATCAACATCTTATACACAGTGAAAAGAAAGTTGCCTGAAAACATATATATATATATATTAATCTTCTGTCGCTCAAGTTTGTCTACACAGCTTTATGCCTTTCATTGTGGATTCAGTTCTATACACATTAGTGCAATGCCTGTATTTGGGGGAATTCAATCAGCTATTGGTCTTCATAAACAATGTTGAAAGTTGCATGTACATTATTTGTATTCTACCTTCAAATGGAAAAGAGTTAACTTCCATAGAAATAAATAGCACAATTTTTTTATAAACCGATATTAATGGTAATTTGCTAACAAATTAGATTCTAAAATGAGCATTTACTTAATAAATTTGGCTAACATTAGATCTTAAATTAGCATTTAGGCAAAAAGTTGGAGAAATATGCCAATGTATTCTATAATGTTGCCTGAGATAATATAATTACCTCTGTGATCAGCTTGCTGCTTAAACTATGAAATTCCAATTTCCTCTATCAAAGAGAAAATAGAATTATCTCATCTGCTACATCAAATTTTCCATGGTTTCAGATTACTCTCCTGAACCAAATCTAATTTCTTAAGCAATGATTTGGTGATAATAATTTATAAAGCCTAGAGAAAGGAAGAATTGCTATGGTTGGCAATAGGCAAAGACAAGCAAACAGGGTTTGATTATATGCTTTGCATGCAAAGGTTGGTTAGGATATTCTTATTGTGCAATTGGTCGAGAAACGTTATTCTTTATCTTCATGCTTTTGGTTTTATACAAATCGAATGATTTATATTTTATTCTGTAATCTTTTAAACAGCTTTAAGGCTTCTTTCCCCTAAAGTTTTCAGAAGAATCTTGTTTCCTTTATAATAAGAATAACAATAAATTTAACCAAATTCCAAAGGTTTAAACATTGTCTAAAAGAATTAATAAGCAAAAGGTAATAAATATGGAAATGATAACTAAGCACAAGTTGGGGCATGGAAGTCTCTGATAGTTACAAAGACGATTGAATGAGCTGCAACAGTGATCGGAGAGGAAGCATCAACAAGCTTCGGATTCATTGCAGGAATGTCCAATGAATCTGTCAGCTTCAATGGAGTTCCATTAAATAACACAACATCACTTTGGATATTTCCATCTTTGGGAGTCAAATGGTACTCTTCTTTCTTCTGGTAGCCTTTGAAATCAGCATTAGGCCTCACAGCATTTGTAGATTCTAAATTACGTCTGACAGCATACAAATTTTCATCATTTGAAAGGGTGACATCGAGAGAACAATGTTTTGACAAGTTGATCAAAGCGAGACAAATCCCAGGCTGCCCAACCAAAATAATAATTATAATAATAATAATAACAATTATCCAATGTTTTTAGTGAGAAAAGGAAATCAAAAGCGTGGAAACAGATTCTTTTTCTTACCTTTTTCTTTGCACAATGAATATACAACCAAATTTGGAGTAACATCCTGACTAACAGCGAGTACCTTACTTCCCATAAACCGGTGCCATAAAAGTGCACTGGCAGAACAAATCAAGCAGAAGAAATGTTAATGCAACAAAATTTACAACCAGAACGATGAAATAGCTAGAGATTTAGCAGGAAATTGACCCATAATAATCAGGATTGGGAATAAATGTTGTAGTATTGAGGAAAGCATAGTTTCCACCAATGAAAGCTTATCTACAATAAACCTTTTGATTGTAGGTTGACGTCATCCCCAACTGGTCTATATACCTGTTTAAAGTTAGAAGTTTAATCACCAATTGTTAATCTACATAGACAAATTTAGTGGCTGAGAGAAATAAGAAGAAAAAAGTTACCAAAATCCATTGGCAAAGGTATGGGATACATGTTTGTCACCGCTGTTATAAGCTCCACCTGATTCAGAAACCCATCCTGGTGACCATGGTGCAAACTTATTGACAGCATTTGAAACATCTTTAAATGTTTGAGCAATTCGGCTAAGGTAAAATGGATCTTGAATCCTGGTAATCAGGTCTGAATCATTACCCGCATTGCATCATTCAAATTAAAAAAAAAAAAAAAATCAATACTTTTCAGGAAAACATTGAACTAAGACATCTATATATATTCCAGATCCAAGGTTGTAGATGTGGTGTGTAGTTCCATCAAGAACTCCTTGTCCAGTGACTAGCAGGAAGGTATTAAACCATTCCTCCTCATAACAGCCACCAGGAGCTAAAACCTTTGGTTGAGTTTTAGGATCAGGATACAACTCTTTCACCAAATTCTTGAGTGCTATAACATCTTTGGCATATTGTTCAGCCTCAACCCTTGCACCTACCCCAGATCCACCGAGTTCATTTCCTGACAACATAAGTTGATCAAATTTTGGACCAAAAGTATATGTAAAAATCAATCTTATATAAAGCTTCAGGTACTAATCTTAGTTACAAAATTCATATGAATCAATTTTGTATCCTTTGAAAATAGTATACTTCATCAGATCTCGAGTATTTTCTGATTGCCAATCACCAATCCAAAGAGTCTTCTCAGTTTTAGACTTTGTTCTTCCGATGAAAGCATTCAAGCCAAATGTAAGCTTTGCACTAAAAGTGTGAAGTTAATAGGGATCATAGTTAATGTTTCGAAAATTAAAAACCAATACCAGTGGTTAAAGACTTTGAAGTATATGCCCGGTTCGACTGAACAAGTTATTCAACTCATCCCATCTCTCAGTGGAAAGGCACCCTTCGGAGAATCCAAATAAACCATCTTCTTTTTTCTTGATAGGGGGGCAGTCCTAACTTTTCCAGCTTTGCTAGAATCTTGTTTTGCAAATCCATAATGTCAAAAAAAAAAAAATCAAATTATATGTAAAATACATAGTTTTTGTATACTCAAATATGTTAAAGAATAATTCATTACCAGATTGAAAATTCCAGCCTTTCCCCAAGGACATTGATCATAGTTACATTTGTCAGAAGGCCACAAATCCAATGTCACACATACGAAGTTATCATCTGTTTTAGCAATTAAAGTTGCTCCTTTAATAACAACTTTCACATTTTGTGCAACTGAAAATGACAACCATGAGAGAACGATTATGGAACAGACAATGCTTTTGAAATCCATAATTGCAGAATCTAAAAATTACAAAGAAGAAGTGGTGATAATGGAATTTGCTTAATCACATATATATATATATATATATATATATAGATATATTAGAAGTGGGTTAAAAAGTGATAAGAACAAATAACTCATTATCTTTGGGGAAAAAAAACCCAGATTATCCTGTAGTTTTCAAGGGATAAAGTATCAGTAAAAAACTATATGATAATCAGTT